TGACTTAGGTGGATTAAATTAAGAATGGAAGAAATTTTCCCTAGTGGGTGAGGCAAGATCCAGGAGAGTTAACATCAGATTTATTTGAAATCTGACCTTTAAAACTAATTATGGTATATTTGTCTTTGGTAATATATAAGCCTACTCTTCCATTCAAAGGAGGAGGAATGTGCTTGCCTTATGACAAAATAAGATGGAAAGGGGTTGAGGAAGCCTGGCTCTGTGGTAGACCAGATTAACTAGCATGTCTGAAGCTGGGTTCAATCCCAGCACCACCAATAAAAAGGAAAAAGATGGAAGGTCACAGCCACTATTCTCTGAAGGTGTGGGCATACTGCTGTAACCAGTGTCATTCCCAGGCTGTAGAATAAAACATGGCACTTAAACTCAAGGGAACATGTTGATGAATTGGTCAACAAAAGAAACAATTATTTGTCTCAGTGCTAAGGAAAGGCAGTTTATAATTCAGGTCATTTTCATCTTATAGATTGATTTAACCATTTAATGCCATTCCACAGTACAAGTCTTTATGGTCTAATCATTTTTTTGAAGATGAAGTTTTCATATATTGGTATCCTTTCTTAACCAAAATTAAATAATCAAGTAAAAAATCAAATTTGATAGCCTTGCAATTCTTTCAGTTTTCAGAGGAAGAGAATTAGTCCATTATGGTTTAAGGCATTTACCCAAAGCTACGCAGCTGATTAGTAACACAAAGAAAGATGTTGTGTCTGCCAAAAACTAAAGTTTCCCTAATTTTTTTGTAATCAAAAATTGGAAAATGGGGCTGGGGATGTGGCTCAAGCGGTAGCGCGCTCACCTGGCATGCGTGTGGCCCTGGGTTCGATCCTCAGTACCACGTACAAACAAAAATCTTGTGTATGCCAAAAAAACTAAATAAATACTATGTCCCTGATACTGAATAAGAGATGAAGTGAAAATTTGCACTTTAATATCTTCATTTATTTTCCAATGAACAGACTTGTACATTATGATGACTGCCTGGATAGAACACTTTATCCCCTTCTTACCAAGAAACACTGGCTATGGACCAGAAAATGTTTTGTTTGTAAAATGTACACAGCTAGGTGAGTAATGTGTATTTTTTTTCTTTTCCTTTTAGAAGTCATACTTTGCACTTTTTGTTATTTGTTTTAGGTAGTACTAGTAAAACCAGGTAGTGAGTTTGTTTTGTGAGATCCAAATATGGGTTTCTTAAAAAATTTTGCTGTATGTGATTCTGCATGTCTAGATTACAATGTGTTTCTTATTGTAGATCAAAGTAAAACAAAGTTCGGAAACTACTCAAAATAGGAAGAATTAGTACCTTAAAAGTTTACTTTGGATTCCCAACCACAATATACTTAACAAAACTTTTTATTAAATAATGTGATGCTGAGGATTGACCCAGTGCCTCACACATTCTTGGCCAGTGCTCTACCACTGAGCCACAACCCCAGCCCCAATAATACACATTTAAAGGATCAATAGAAAAACAAATCAGTTTACCACATCAAGATATTAAAAGCAAACATTCCATGAAATGGAGACTTCAATTAGACTGGAAAGTAGTATTTTCATCCTGTGAACAGTTAACATTCTCAATCCCAAAAACAATCTCACTTAAATATCACTATGCACACATTCCCTTGTGTCTAATTTAGAATTTAAAACATTTGTGTTTTCAGAACAACAGTACTAATATACCAGTTTAAAAAAGGAATTGTTTTCAGAAGCACACATATTAAAATTAGAACAGTACAGGTGGGACACAATAACATAACTGTAATCTAAACAATTTGATATATTTCAATAGAACTGGAAGAGTTTGAGGTTTGCCAGCATGTAGAAGTGTTTTTTAAGATAGGAATGCTAATCACCACACATTGCATAGGTGTTGCAAAAAAAAAAAAGTATATTGTTTAATATTGCCTTTTAGAACATGTCTGGAGGACAGGTTATATCATGACAAATGTATGCTTTTGAGTATACATTGTGAGATTATTATAGTTTTCTACTTACCTTTAAAAGGAAGTTTTACAAAGCAACAGCATTAGTGTTAGGGGCATGGACTGATAATAGTGGGAATGTTCTGTTTACAGGTTATAGCATGTTGAGGCATGAAAAACTTGATTCATAATGACATACATCTTTTTCTAAAAACTACAGATGGGTGACGAACAGTGACAGTTTTGCACCAGAGGACCCATGTTTCTTTTGTGATGTTTGCTTCCGAATGCTCCACTACGACTCAGAAGGCAACAAACTGGGGGAATTCCTTGCTTATCCTTATGTTGATCCTGGAACCTTTAATTAAAAACAGGTCCAAATATTTAGAAAATGCTAAATTATTTCACTTAGTATTTATTCCAGAGTATATTTATTTATTGCTTTTTACTCATTTTATCTTGTTGAAGAAGTACTTCATATATTCTGAATATATTAATCTTTTGTCACATACACAAATTCTGATTATTTTCTCCCAATCCATGCTTGCCTATTCATTCTGTATCCTGAGTGTTTTGTGAATGATAGAATCAATGATACATCAAGCGGTGGAAATGTTTTGAAAATTCTTTGAAGAATGTGATTGCTACACCTTCTACCATGAGGCTTCCAAGGTAAAGATCCTTTAAATATCTGTAATAAAAATTAGGAAGAAGTTAAAAACAAGAGTAATTGTTTTGTGAATAATACAAGAATAGCTATTGTGTCATTCAGTGGTCTCTTTTGTGATATTAACTTATACCTTGATATGAATAAGCACACAAGACATTCATGTATCTCCCTAGCTCAAGTATGTACACATCTTCACAGTATTTAAAATAAAGCCTCACTCAGTTTAAAATGTCAATTTTAAAATAGCAGATTGGGTATTACCATGGAGACAGGGAAAAATCAAGATCCAATTGATTGAGCAATAATACTCAATAATATGTATATTAACAATTTTCTCAAAAAGAGGGAAAGAACACTTTTCTAACCCAGCTCTTCCATTCACCTAATCTTATAACTTATGGAAAAGTTTTGAGGTGGTGTTTTGCTATGTGGTTCAAGCTACTAGCTTGAACTATCGATCCTCCATCCTTAGTCTCCCAAGTAGTTGGGATTACAGGAGTCTACCACACACCTAGCTTGAAACAGACTAAAGTTTCCTGATTAGAATATTTTCTGGAAACTTTTTTTATTATAAAATTCAATTTCTTAAGACTTTAAGAAATGCTATAAAATAGATTTTCACTATAATTTTTACTCTCTCTCTCCTAGGTTATATTTAAATTCAGCTGAATTGTACATTTCTTTGGATGACTGAGAAAAGACATTTACCATAGAAATCAAAACTGATGAAGCCTGTAAGCCTATTTCAAAGACTGACAGTGAAGTATGACTCATGGACTTAATGCCACATATACAATATTAAGTTGAATGATATGGTGATGACAAGTACCTGTTTCTGGTATGTCTAGAGGTGTTTTCATTCACTCATTCAATCAGTAGAGGATCAGCAAAGGCATAGAGAACTAAAGAGGCCCCTCCATGGCTGCCTTACATTGTGCCTAAATTTTTACTTTCCTGTATCCAGTGGTGCCAGTAACATTGAACAGATAGAAAATTCTGCTGGAAAATCATAGATTTAAGACAAATGAGTGATTTACCCACTTCCTAAAAGTCCACAGGTAAAAGTTATTTTTAATACTGCATTTCTTACACGTCTTGCATTAATATGCTTTAATTTTCATTTCATACTCTCAAAACAGCAAGTCCCAGCAAGTTAATTATCATAATGCATTCTTATTTTATCATTTATTGAGAATGTTATTCTATTCTGATAGTTTGACTTATCCAAAGAATCTACTATTTCCTGGTGAAACTGACAAGAACCAGGCCATACCACAATTTGCCAGTGTTACTTATGTGAGTATCCCACCAAGTTAAAAACAACAAAACACCCAAATCAAAAACAGCCTTTCTTTAAGCTTATTTCAATCTATTAAACACACCATACTTTATACCATGAATTATGATATACATCAATGAAGAAATAAGAAAATTTCATGAACTTAATTTTGATATAATAGAAGATGCATGCAAAAGATCACTACACAGAAAAGCAGTTAACTATTTCTTTTAATATTTTTCTCAGGCTTCAGATTCCTTTAGGGATAATTAGACACTGCAGTTTTACTGGGGGAAAGATCAGTCATTAGTGTTGGACAATTACACAAGACAAATATAAACATAAAATTTTGCCTATTAATGGCTTCTTCATTTCTTAAGGGTTATCTATTTCTAATAATCTCTGGTCAACTGAACAATTGGGGGGGGGAGCCTTTGCTCTCATCCAGAATTAGATAGCAGACCTCCTGCTGACCTTATATCTTTAACCAGGTAAGTATCTCACTAGATACAATAGCTGAGCCTTAAGTACTCTGATCAAATTATCCATACAAATTCCCAGTCAGGTTCTCTGATTCAAGCAACTGAGAAACCTTCAGCAATCAATTACTCTTCCAAAATGTTATCTAGTGATCAAATAGCACAAAAGGTATTGTTCAGATTCTACACATACTTTTTTGGGGGGGTGGGGGTTAACAACCTTATTGAAAATTATCTCTTAGCTAAGGAATTTAAACCAAATATTGCCAATGCCTTAAAGGTCTTGATGACCTTTTTTGGTGAGTCCTGAGAGTGGCAGTTATCCATGAATCACCTATGACAAAGAATATTTCAAAGAAGGTTAACTGGTTAGAGCAAGGTGAGTCTCATATTCTCCAGAAGTTGAATATTCTGTGGCTTCTTGGTAAAACTATAGATCTGTTTGGGTCATAGGAAAAAAGGGGAGGGAGAACAAAAAAAAAAATATTTCCTTTATTTTTAAATCATCTTGTTGTGCTTATATTTAGTTAACCCTGTGTCCCCAAACAGGATCAATAACCAGATAACTAAAAAATTATTTCCTTAAACTCTTAAAACAGCAAAGAAGTAATTTACTAATGAAGTTTGATAGAAAAATTCTTTAATCAAAACAAGTTTACACATTTGACACTTATGGCTCAACTAGAATAAATCTAAGTTAAAACTGTTAGGACAAAACAGATGACTGGTGTATATATAATGTAATAGCAGAGTTCCCTCAAAACAGTGGGTCTTAGCTCCATTGTAAGACTTCTAAAAAGCAAAAATTCAATTATCCAAATAATTCAAGTTGTATAGATGAAAATAATTATCAAGAGATCAAAACTTACAACACATGTTACAAACACTGGTATTAAGTCATTTTCCCATATTCATAAGAGTTTCAAAACGTATCTACTACCTACCTATTGAAAACCACCAACGGACCTAATATTTAAAATATCTTAGAAATGCTATCCTTTAGTTAACAGACTATTAAATTTTGTGTTAACATTGGTTCTTCCGGATTTAGTCCATATACATCAAAATACAGACTTATCAAATACTACCTTGGAGCAACTAATATTTCTATTTTTTGTAACCCTGTTACATATATGATATAGAAATGAAAATACAAATTCCCTTCTAATATAGCCACATTTTCAAATAGGTTTCTTTATATAGCATTTATTTATATTTACCACATAAGCATCATGGATTGACTTTTTTTCCCAATTAAAAAAATACTACTTTGTGACTTCCTTAATGAATGTGACTTAAGACATTTCTCAAAAATAAACATTTTTAGTTATTAGTGCCTGTAATGGATCTTAAATGGTTGAACTCTAAAATCAGATTCATTCATATACATATATAATAATAAGTCTGTTCTCTGCAGGAAAGTCATGTGCCTTCACTAAATTCCCAGCCACAAAACTAAATTATCTTAACATAAGTTGAACCTCATAGAAGTCAGTTTGATGTCAATTGGATAGAAAGGAGTACAGATGATACTGTTACAAAAAAGCAGAATGGAGCACAATGTGGACTGATATTAAAATTAACTTTTGATAAAAAAGGAGTGAGTACTTGTATAGAAGTAACATTTTATCAACCATAAAAATGCTCAACTTCTACAAAACCCACAGTGAAAAGACAGTCTGTCCAAGATTTGTAAAAACTATGCACAAAACCCACAGTATTTGGGAAAAGAGGATTTATACAAGTAGCAGTTTAAAAAATGTAACTGTTTTACTACCAATTACACATTAACATACACACACTAACTGAAAATATGCTACAACCATATCTGGAAAAGCTGTTTTAACATTTCTAAGTGGATAACCCCCCCCAACATTTACTGTATAATGTAGCTGTTAATACTGCACAAGTACAATAGCAATAATGTTTAATTACTTTTAAACAAAGATAAAGGGATTATCTCCCTCAAAACAAGTTGTAGACATCAAAACCTATGCTTATAAAAATTTAAAACTTTCAGCAATCTAAATATTTCAAAGGAAAACCATTACAAACTTGTCAAATGTTCTTTATATTCCAGGTATGTCAACCTAGTTATCTAGTGTAGAATCCTTCAGAGATATCTCAGTCTCTCTCTCTTCACCGGATGGCCTAAAGAAAAAGGGGGAAAGATAGGTGTGATAACTGAGATTAGGGTTTTCTCCTAAGGAAAAAAGGCATTAAAGCTGCATTACATTTTTTAAATTACCAAAACATGAAAACAAAAAACCTTGTTACTTAAGACACATCATCTTTTTCAAAATTTTACCCTTATATCTTCTACCTAAAGTAATTGGAAGATCACAATAACCCAGGAAAGCATAATAGAAAAGAAGCCTTTCCTCTAGTACCAGGAATTGAACTCAGGAGCACTTGACCCCTGAGCCACATTCTGAGCCCTACTTTGTATTTTATTTAGAAATAGGGTGTCACTAAGTTGCTCAGCGTCTTGCTTTTTCTTGCTGAGGCTGGCTTTGAACTTACCATCCTCCTCCCTCAACCTCCCAAGCCATTGAAATTACAGGTGTCCATCATGGCACATGGCAGAATAAGAATTTTTTATCTGTGATGCCAACATACATAGATTTTTTAATTACACAATTTGAAGGGATGCTTGATTCCACATCCTTTGAACAAACAAAAATTTTGGACAACTACAGTTGTATAGGATTACAGTATAAAATAATCAATGATTCTACATCTAAATTGTTAATGCATTTATCCTTCCACAATTGAAGGAATTTTGAAAGCAAGACATTAACATCGTATTGGGACTGAGAATACGCAGCTCAACGGTAAAGCACAAGAAAAAGCCATGTAGAAAGATAGACTGGGGAAAACTGTTTTTTATAGAATTCCTACCTAGCTCCCATTTTCTTGAATACAGTAGGTAGCAAATTATTTGTATACTAGCTTTTGGGGATTTTAGGTGCTGGGGAGACACCTCTCTTGCCAATTTACAATTTCCTTATTGAACTCAAGGATCAAACTCTATCACCCCTGCTGGTGCTATATAGAGTGCTTACCCTAGGTTCTACCTTGAGTACTAAATCACCTTGCTAAAGTATTGTGGTCAAAAACTTATGATTACAAAAAAAAAAAAAGAAAAGAAAACATGATACAGGCGCTACTCTGCACACCTAAGTCACTCTGAGTCAGGAGTATCACTGGAGCCAGGAGTTCAAAGCCAGCTTGGGCTATACAGCAAAACCCCACCTCAAAACACAAACACAGACCCATTAAAACATGTCCTCACTTTTTCTTACTGCTGGCCTCATGGTTGTCTTTACTTTCTTCATTGCTATCTCCATTATGCTGTGGCTGATTACTGTCTTGAGCATCAGATCCTCCATTCAGAGTCTTTGAACCTTTAAAAGGATTCCAATGGAAATACTTTGTTAAAGATTCAAAATAAAAAATAAAACATGGCTCCTAAGTTTCTAATACTTAATTTTAGGATTGGATTTTGATGCCATTTCAGGAATATACAGGACAGCTTCACTGTCAAGTAACATCACTAAAGTCTTTGTGCAGCTAATGCACAGAAATAAACAGTTACTGCATGTACTTATGGGTAAAGGAATAATTAGAAAAATAATATAGTTGTTAATTTTTTATTTACACATAAGCAAACAAAAAGCCCATTAATACAATTAAAAAATAATATGCTCAGCATGACTAAGCACAATAGCATGAACCAGAATACTCCTATCATCTGTAAATACAGCAACTTTTAGGCTCCACCTGTTATGCTGTTTGGTTTTTGTTTTGTTTGGGATACTGGGAATTGATCTCAAGGCCCATTTTAACCAATGATTCACATCCCAGCCCCTTTTTAAATTTTGAGGCAGGGTCTCACTAAGTTGTTTAGGACCTTGATAAGTTACTGAGGCTGGCCTTGAACTTGTGATTCTCCTTCCTTAGTAGCCCATGGCATACCACCATGCCCCAGTTAGCGTGATGCTGTTTTGATCAAAATATTGAGGGGCTAGGGATGTGGCTCAGCAGTAGAGTGCTCACCTAGCATATGTGTAGCCCTGGGTTCAATCCTCAGCACCACATAATAAATAAAGGTACTGTGTCCAACTACAACTAAAAGATTATGTGTGTACGTGTGTATGTATACGTGTGTGTATGTATATATATATATATATACATACACACACACACACACACACATATACCATTATTGAACCCTGGGGATAGGTTTTGTTTTCTGTGGCTGAGAAATGAAAGCTTGACTAGGAAGTGAATCCTCTAGGGAGGAGGAGACAATGTTCTAGATAGTTTTTACATTCCTCCGGTCATTTGCCCCATTAACTGGTTTTTGTGTTAGAACCCTGACTTTAAAAACTGACACGATTTCTTGTTCTGAGGGCATGCTGCTGTGCTGCTTAAGTGGTTTGACAGGCCCATCACACATTTTTACCAAGTCCTCTGCAGTGTTAATATCTCCACTGTCTGTGTTACCATGATCACCCTGATTCAGAACCATTTAAGACTACCTCAAGGCCAGTGAAAATACAATGAAGCCTCATTGTTGATAACAATGTTTTAGTAGTCACTTCCTATGTAATAAAGCCATATTTAAACCCTCCCATCCAATTCCATGCTGAGGATTAGACCCACAGTCTCAAGCACAAGCAAGTGCTCTACCACTGAGCTACATTCCCAGGCTTCGTAAAACATTTTTAAAAGGAAATCCTGGCAAACAGTTTTTTAAAAACTGGCTTCAGATTATACATACCTGTTTGTTCTTTTTCTAGCTTTTTGTTTGGGCCTTTCTTCCCTTGATCTTTGGTTTTATTCGCTTCCTCATGTTGTCTTTGTTCAGCAAGAGACTTATTCAACACTTGTGTGATGACAGAATCCCCTTCACCAACCAAAAACATGTTCTTAAACTTGTTATACAACATGGTAGACTTTTCCATGATAACTTGACTAACCTTGAATCGCCGTATCTGAGAAAACAATATATATTTATAATTGTTTCCCTGGTTATTTGTTTACTTATACTTATTTTTTTAATGAAGTAATAGGACAATGTTAAAAGCCTATGTGAGTTGATATACTTACTTTTTTCAGGGTTGTAATCATCTCTGTGTGTTTCTGAGCTTGTTGCATTGTGACCTGAAGTGAAGCAAGTTCATCCAAGGCCTCAATGCATCTGTTCACATCCTTCATGACAAAATAGTAATTGTTAATTATTTCACAGCATATATAATTTATTTCTGAAGATTTTTTTAAAGTCAAGGCAGTACAAATTAACCAGTGATTGTCCCTTTTATCTTAAATTAATTCAATGAGAAACAAAAATGAAGCTATAAAAGCAGCACTGTATTTTTAAAGGAAGTTAAACACTTACAAGATTATCAATTTTGAGTGAATTTTTTATTTCAGCATGTATCCTTTGAAGTCGAGAATCCATTGATGTTTCTATAAATTAAAATATGTGAAAAACAGTAAATAGTTTTTCCAACACCAGTGTTTTTGTATAATCTGCTTTATAATGGAAAGAAACTGTGGCTTCTTAAAAATATATATTTTACTAAGAAACTCTTTATAGATGAACAATTGCTTAAGAATAAGAAGTTACCTGCAATTTTTAATATATAGTTTAGGAAAGCAACAAACAGCATGAAAGCACAAAATAAGCCATTGTCTACATCCAATGAACTCTATACACCAATCCATAAAACATCTGCCTTACCTTATACACTTAACCCTAATTAAGCAATCTGACAAAAATGAGAAAGTGTTTAGCTTTTGTCCAAGTTAGAAAAATCTGACATCAAATGACAAATATTAAAATACAAAGATTACTATTTAGCAAGTTCACCTAGTTACGCTTAAAGTACAATGTAATTTATATAGAATTTATCAGGAATCTGAATGTTTTTGTAGGACATAAGAAAATGAGGCTGATTCTGAAGCCAATCATGAAAAATTGTCTACAAACTTTCTATGTATGCTTTTATACGTCGTAGAAAGTGAAATAACTAACCTCGCTTCTTCTCCACTTTCTTAACTTCTGGCTTCTTTCCTTCATCTTTATTCTGCCTATCAAATGTTAACACAAATATTTCAAAACATTGGAACTTTGTGACTATGATTACCAAATGCCCACAATCCCTTATGTAAATAATAAAAAATTTTCCTTATAATAATAAATCAATAGCTTAGACCACAAAGAATTGATTACAGTGTTTACAACCAGAGCTCCACAGCATTAGTACAAATATAAGCAAAACTCAATATGCTAAATTAAATCTAACAATCTTTTTTTAGTGACTTCACAAAATGATTTTGGAACTGTCACAATGAAATTTTCTTTCCAACATGAAATATATTAAAAGCCCACTTTCAGATCAACAATCTACAATGGGAAGAATACTATAAACATTTAACGGATTCTACATCACAATTATTTTTAAAAGCAGCACATTTAAAACAGACCAATTTAGGGCTGGAGTTGTAGCTCAATGGTAGAGCGACTGCCTACATGAGGCTTTCTGGGTCTGATCCCCAGCACTACAAAAACAAAACAGACCAATTTAATTGTTCATCACATCTCCGAAGTACAGGTAATTTAAGGGATTTTGAAGTAAGCGTCAAGATTAAAATACTGTTTTTAAGACACCTATGAAATTTTTTAAAAATTGGGGAAGGGGAAGCCATTATCAAATTAAATGACATCCACTAACATTTATATACCATTTCAAATGAAAAGGTACCGTTTTACTATGAATCACAAAAATAACCATTTAAAATTGAAATCGTAATTTCTAGTACCTTGGCTTGGCAATCAGGCCATACTATAAACCAATTAAAATAGACAAGAACAAAAAATATCTAAAAATCAGGTTTTTTTTTTAAAAAAAACTTTATTTTAAAATTTTGGTTACAGTTTCATTTTTTTCTTAACAAGTCTACTGATTAATCTCTCAGGATTTAAAAAAAAACAATCATTAAGATTCTAAAGAATTAAACAACAAGGAATGTCAAGGGAAGGGCACAATTGCCCCATTCTCAGGGATATATAGCTATTCCAGTTAATACCTAGCTTCAAAACAAAATGAATTTTTATATTTTCTAAATGAAATAATGTACAACCACCATCTTCATCTAGAATTGTTATAACTTTCAAACACAAAGCTTCATTTTAAGCTTGGTAAAAAACTTAACAGGAATGATGGCAGACCTTAGGATGTAGTGTGTACCTTACAGGAAATTTTGTTTAACAATCATAACACAGTAATAATGCCATTAATAATGAAGTCCTCAATTTAGAATCTGGAACATTCTTCCATCAAGGGGGGGGAGGGGGAAATTCAGTCCAATGAGTCTGTCTCAAGATCTTCATCTCTTGTTTGCTCCACTTGTATTCTCTTTTCAGTAACTGGATTAATGCTTTGAGCCCAAAATGAGATATATTTTTTATTACTGTAGATTACATGTTGTTTGGCTGGGAATACAATACAATAAACTTTATTTTGCATAATGCATTTCACACAAGTTGCATCTGAAATGCTTTACAGAGCAAAACTGTCCAAGTACAAAGTTTTGTAATAACAGGAGAAGGAAAGAAAACACAAATATTAGAATTTGAGAAAATTACATTGGAGGACATTCAAAAGAAACTGAAATACATAAAAAGATAACTTTGAGATACTGAAGAAGGGATGGGCTATTTTACTAGGCAACAACTAATTCTGTATCCTAATTTTGGGAGCACAATGAAGTTAAAAGCAACCAACAGTCCAACAAATTTTCAGTGAAAATATAGAGAAGGATAGGTAACAAAAAAATATTTACAGAAGTGGTCAAAGTCAACAATGGGGAGTAACATTTCTGAACTTCAGATCACTTTTTAAAATACTCCCACAAGAGGCTAAAGCTGCTCATATAGCCTCCGAACAACTAAGAAGTCAGAGGCAAATGCTATATTTATAGTCTTGTGGCTTATGATTATTTTATAATATAAAAAAAAATTATTCAAGGATGTTTAGAGTTTCACTGCTCATTATCTTTGTCTTTAGTGACATAGAGCATGTTTATAAAACTATCTCCTCACTATAAATAACAACAACAACAAAAAAAAAAAGTGTAAGACATTTCACAGGAAAGAAAAGTATTTCAGAGAAAGAATTCAGAAGTGACAGTCTAAAGATAACCAGGAAAACAAAGACATGAAGTCTAACAATCATCACTGCTATCATTTTTCATTCTATTAATAAAATTATTTTATACAATAAAGGGGAAAGAAATCCCCCATGGTAAGTATATACCATCTCCAAGTATCAAAACTTAAGAGAAAACAGATTTGAACTTGATTTATAGTGCACACATTCAATGTAAACCCTGTTAGCCGCTGGATTTACTTTACTGGCTTCGTGGGTTTTCACCTGTGCTTTTGTTATTTTTGCTGGTCTTTAGGGGTAGGCCTGCTGGTGGTATAACAAGAATATATCCCGCATTCTTTCCCCACCAATATATTATCACCACTCTTTCTATATTTATATATCACAAAGAAGAGAGGATGAGTACAATTTTCTGCAAAACCAATAGTTAAAACTTATCTGCACTTTCAGTTTAAACTGAAAAAGAATTCACAGGGTGACTGCCTCCAAGAATCTCATCCTTCACTCAGAAAATAATGAAGCCTGAAATATCATCTTCATATATGGAAGATTTTTCTAACATGGGAAAAATTTCACTTCAAAAGGCTTCATAAAGTCTGGAAAATGAAGTCTATTGTTTAAAAAACCCATGCTAGCTTTAAGAAAACCCAAAATTTAGAATAAAAAAATACTTACTGCTCAGTTTCCATTTGTTCCTCTTGCTTGCGTTTTCGATCTGCTGCTTCTTTCTCATGCTGGCCTTTCAGCATATTCCTCCTGTGAGCAGTCTGAAAGTTTCGTCCACCCTTTCTCTTCTGTTTGAGAATCAGGATGGATTTAATTAACTATCAAGTCAGTGACTAGTAGCTGTAATGACAATCTCCAGAGAAAAATAACTAGTTTTGAGAGACGTGTTTAAATTAGTAATTTTAAAAAACACAACTGAATTTTGCACATCTCTGCTCTACAATCTTCACTTTCCTTTATGATTGTGGATTTAATAGTCTTCCTCCTGTCATAGTAATTTTATGTGAATACTGATAAGCACACTGCTGAGCCTATTTTGTTTAAAAATTTTAGCTTTGAAATATTAAAATGTGAGAAAAAAACAGGTGCAGTGGTGCATGCATGCCTGTAATCCTAGCAGCTTGGGAGGCTGAGGCAGGAGGATCAAAAATTCAAAGCAACTGGGAGGCACTAAGCAACTCGGTGAGACCCTGTCTCTAAAATAAAAATGACAAAATAGGGCTGGAGATGTAACTCAGTGGGGAAGTGCCCTTGAGTTCAATCCCAATAAAAAATAAATAAATAAAAGAGAGAAAATGTCTATGTGACCTGGAACTGTACATCTCTTAAGGCTATTCTGTTTTTCTACACAAAAGGACACATAGCTTTTTTTTTTTTAATATTTATTTTTTAGTTGTAGTTGAACACAATAGCTTTATTGTTATGTGATGCTGAGGATCAAATCCAGGGCCTTGCATGTGCTAGGCAAGCACTCTACCACTTAGCCACAACCCCAGCCCAGACATATAGCTTTAATAAGTTTCCCAAACAAGATTTAATGGCATCCAAATAAAGTTACATATAAATGACTAAACATACAATAAATAGGCACAAAAATTTTCGTTGGGGGTAAATAAAAATATATATAGAAATACACCTTATATTTACATTTGTCTTCACGTCACAGCCAACTTGGCTTATTTCCTACATTCGCTTATTTTCCTAGGTGGGATTATTGGAAGTACATATTCAATTTTTCTGACTATAATTGTGAGAAGGGAAGATATATACAGAATAGAAAATTAAGTTTCAAATGTACTTGTAATGTAGTCAGTAGAAGTCTATTAAGAAATATAAGAATCCAGGTTAGCTTTCACAAAAATACTGAATACTTACTAGGGTACAGCTTAAAAACTATCTAAAAAGAACTTAGAACAAGTATTTTATATGATATATAAACTTTCTACCTTTTCACCTTCTTGATCATCTCCTTCTTCTTCAGAATCAGAGGTTGATGTAACCCCTGTTTTAGCTAAATTTTTCCTTTTTGATTCAACTTCTTTTTTCCCCTCTTTTTTGTCAGGCTCTTTTCTTGGTTTATCTTCTTCCTTCTGGCCCTCTTCATCCTTTTTAAGCTGCTTTTTGGGTTGTTTTTCCTCTTGCCCCTTTTTCTTACTTTTGTCTTCTTCAGTAATCCTATTTTACAAAATGCAATAATGAGCTTTTATTTATCATTACTTGTCATTCATCTATACTCTTGTATTCACCAAACAAGTATTTTAGATGATAAAAATAATCCACATGCACACCTGTAATCCCAGCTACTGGGGAGGCTGAAGCTGGAGGACACGAACTCAAGTCCAGCCTGCACCACTAAACAAGATCCTCTCTAAAGAAATGTAGCAGTATTGCTACTTAAAAATCAATCTAGAAGCTGGAAATGTATCTCAGAGGTACAGTCTAGTATATACAATGCTCTGGATTCAGTCCCCAGTATACAACATACCGCACCCATACAAAGTAAATCTACAGAAAAGTAAAAGAAATTCTGTAACAGAACATCCTTTTGATATAAATTAGAAGATACAAAATTAAAGTGTCATTAGGTTAATAGAAAGTGATTTTCCCCCATTTTCCAAGTTTCCTTTCATGTAATTCATTTGTTCAAAAACATAATTTGAGCACTAGCCATGTGCCATGGTACTTACTGTTTTTAACTCTGAGGAAATAGCAGTATATAAGATGAGCAAGATCCCTGGATCTTGTTGTGTGTTTGGGGGCTATATTTTAGGGTTGTTAGTTTGATGATTGGTGATGGTTTGTTTTGGGTTTTTTGTTTTTTTCCTGAAGATGCTGGGAATTAACCAAGGGCCTTGTGCATACTAAGCCCACATTCTATCATGAAGCCATACCCTTGACCCAACTTATGGGAGCTTATATTCTATATATTTGTAAGAATAAATTATTTTTTTTTTTAAAGAGAGAGTGTGAGAGAGAGAGAGAGGGAGAGAGAGAGAATTTTTTTTAATATTTATTTTTCAGTTTTTGGTGGACACAACATCTTTGTTTGTATGTGGTGCTGAGGATCTAACCCGGGCTGCACGCATACAGGCAAGTGCGCCACCATTTGAGCCACAACCCCAGCCCCTATTTTTTAAAAGTAGACACACTCAGAAAAATTGAATTGCAGAAGTGAAATCAAATGTCATTTTTTAATTCAAAGAAGCACTCTTTTAAATATATGGCAAATTAAGCATGATAACAAACAGTACTAAGCCAATTACGATCTAAGTACTCCCACACATTGCTAAAATAATTCAAACTACCTAACTTATTCAAATATCCTAATTATTGCTGGATAATAATTATGTGAATATAAATAGTAGAAATAGGCTATAAAAGGATAATCAGATGATGCAAATGCTAACAATTACTTTTATGGCATACGTGTTCAACTAGAGAACTCCTTTATAAAGACTTAAAGCTGTCTAAAAACTATGACCTTGGGCTAAGGATATAGCTCAGTTGGTAGAGTGCTTGCCTCGCATGCATAAGGCCCTGGGTTCAATCCCCAGTACCACAAAAAACAAAACACTATAATCTTTTTACTATCCACGGAATTTTACTGAAATTTTCACAGATTAAGATGGATCCCATGTCATTTGGTCCAATGCCATCCAGATAAATGAGATATGTGATGCAAAATGTCACATAATAAACCCACTGATCCCCCCCCCTATCAAATAAGTGCTTCCTTGAATACTTAGGAGACTTAAGTTGGAAAAGAAAAAAATGTCATCTTTTACATCTTCAAAAATTTGTCAGAAATCATCTTTGGGTGTGCTTATTTTCAAATGTCAGATGGGTTTCACCTCTTTTTCTTAAAAATGGTAATATTGTCAAGTCAAATGTAAAAACAATTTCTGTGGCTCTTAATATCAACTGACTGCTTTCTTCAAACTGTTTTGGAAGTAGCTATTAAAAAATACAAACTTCCTCTCACCCAACAAATCTACTCCCTGTAACACATCTTAAACCAACAAACTTAAACACATAAAAACAACAGATAATGTTTGTGTGTGCACACAAGATGCACTGGGGATTAAACCCAGGGCCTGGGGCATGGGTTTAATATATGTTAACTTCTAATAACTTAAAGACTAATACACAACCCCAAATCTCAGTGGCTTGTTAACAAATTTGTTTTACTTTATGTGAACATTATGAGTTGCTTTTAGCTCTTCAAGTGCTATACCACTGAGCTTTATCTCCAACCTAGATAACAATGTTTTTTAAAAGCAAGCATCCAAATATGGAATAGATCTTTAAAATGATAATACCTATACATGGAATGTTTTACATATGTTTTTTTTAAAAGTGGCTTTAGAAAAATATTTTCATTTGTTGTTGATGAACCTTTATTTATTTACATGCAGTGCTGAGAATTGAACCGAGTGCCTCACACATGCTAAGCAAGCACTCTACAATTGAGCCAGAACCCCAGGCCCAGGCATATATTTTTTAAATGTGGGGCTGGAGATATAGCTGAGTTTTAAAGTATATACTTAGAATATAGGAGACCCCTGGGTTGAACATCTAAGCACCGCAAGCGGGGGAAAAATAAAAGCTGGGCATGGTGGTGTACTCTTGTACTCCCAGCTACTTGGAAGGCTGAGGCAGGAGAATCACTTAAGCCCAGAATATCCAACCCAGCCTGAACAACATAATGAGACCAGACTTCAAAAAACCAGAACCAAAAAGACTATTTTAAGGTCAAAGAAAGAGGATTACTTCAAAATTTTTTGAACAGTATCAAAGCAAAGAAGTCTCATGAATCTAACTATCACTACTTGCCACCTTTCATGAACTACAGACTTGTAACAAACTCTCTCTCTCTCTCTCTTTTTTTTTTTTTTTTTTTAACAATGCTGGGGCTTACCCAGGGGCTCGGGCTTGCTAGGCAAGCACTACATCACTGAGCTACATCCCTAACCTGGCAGTTTATCTTTTTAATAGTTCAAGGGACATTGAGAAAATTATAATTTTCAAGTCTTTTTTTTAAATATTTTTTTTAGTTGTAGGTGGACACAATACCTTTTTTTAAAATTTATGTAGTGCTGAGGATTGAACCCAGGGCCTCACACATGTAAGACAAGTGTTCTACCACTGAGCCACAGCTCCTCAGCCCCTCAAGTCTTCTAATATATGTTAACTTAAAGACTAATACACAACCCCACATGTCTCAGCGGCTTGTTAACAAATTTTTCTTACTTTATGTGAACATTATGAGTTGCTTTTAGCTCTTCAAGGCTCTGTCTATACTATTATTGCCATTTCAGTACCCATCAGGAAGAAATAGTCACTAATACATCCACGCTGTTCTCATGATGAAGAACATAAGTTTCAAGAGTTTATGTAATTTAATGCTGCACTCCACTCCACTCACAATACACAACCAAAGGTAGCTACATCCAACGCCCAGCATACATTCAGCAGGAATAATAAATAAATGTTGTGAGCTCCTGCTATTTTAGGATTATTTATTGCCTGAGCAAAAAGCTCACTAATATAGAAATTGTATCAAACAGGGATCTCAGATATGCTAGCAAGTGCTCTATCACTGAGCTAACTCCCAACCCCTTTACAAATTTTTAATTAACAAATAACATTATTATTTATGGGACACAATATTATTAATCTGAAGAATATATACAATGTGTAATGATAAAATCATAGTAATTAGCATTTCCATCTCCTCAAATGTTATTCTGTGTTGGGAACTTTCAAACCCTTCTCTAGTTATTTTGAAATATAAAATTATTATAAACTACAGCTATCTTACTGTGGTATATAGAACATCAGAACTAATTCCTCTTTTATCCAACAATATTTTCATGCTGGTTATCCAATCTCTCCCATAGCAAGAATTCCATAAATATCAACTTCTCATTTTCTTTTCTTGGCAGTTCATCTTATGTCTTATTCAACCTTAGCCCCTCCATTCCTTTCTGCTGCCCCAGCTGTCAATGACCCCTATTCTACTTTTTACCGAATATATCCATGGGTAAAACTGTAGAACTATAACAACTTGAAAGAAGGAAATGTGGTTTGGGGTAAAGGGGTTTCAAGGTAGAATATCAGTAGCTTGAACTGATTATTACCAAGATAAAGTTGATATGGTATTTAAGAAACTGAGTTCAAAAAAAAAAAAGCCTCTGTTTCAAGTAAGGATATAGGATTTTCAAATTCCCATATCCTAGGGTCAAAGATCTCATAAAGGGTATAGCTGCTAGTCTTAAGAATTCAAACTGGAATGCCTTAATTCTTCAGATGGACACATGACTCCAGAGGGGTGGTTTCTTAGGAAAACCTATACACTTAAATGCCTATAATTAATTAAAAAAAGATAAGAACATATGGGAAAGTATTATGAGTGAGACCATTGAAGCTGACTAGAATTAAACACACAGTATGTACTACCAAAAAATGACATTAGATTGTATCAAGAGAAAATGTGATCTAAAAAGGCATGCTAAAGCCTCTGAATCCATATAGTCTGAAAGTCACTGAGAAAGCAGCTCAGCTGACAGGAAGGGCAAAATTAGATAATTTCCATAAGAATCAGCAAAAAATCATGGAGACAAAGGCACTAGAAAGTATACTTCAAGGGAAAACTGGGGCCTAATCAGGAGAGATTCCTTATATTTAAAAATAGGGGAATCTCACAATATTTTCCTTCCAAATTGATTTCCCAAGGAATAATGACTGCAAACTTGTTTACCTCCAGGTAAACGATTTCTTAATATCGCTACAATAATTATACCATGTTGTGTTTCTGTACCACTATTTTTTAATTGACAAGAACTATTTATGATGTAAAATGTGATGTGTTAGTGGATGTATACATTTAAATGGCTATTTAACTCCTATTACCCCATAGATTTTTTTTGTTTTAGTGGTAAGAACGCTTGGAATCTATTCTCCTTATAATAAGTATACAATAACAATATATTATTGTTATATGTTACTGTTTTTGAAAGTAATTTTCTTAAAAAAAAAAAAAAAAAAAGAGAGAGAGAGACAGACAGACAGATCGAGACTGGGTCTTGGCTATAATGCCCAGGAAAGCCGAAAACTTCCAAGCTCAAGTAATCCTCCTTCCTCAGACAGAGGAACTACAGGTGTGTAATACTTTAACAGCTAGCTTAGAAGTAAAATAGGAGTTGGGATTGTACAGCACTTGCCTAAACACATGTGAGGCACTGGGTTTGATCCTCAGAACCACATAAAAATAAATAATAAAATAAAGTCTTTAAATATATTTTGGTTGAAAAGTACAATTCTAGTAATGTTCTATAATTAAGTTCCTATAAAAATAATTCGTTGATCCAAAACTTATAATATATAAGCCCATTCTTAACATACCTCATTTAAGCTTTCCCTGCAAAACTCTTTTTTCCCCCCCAATACTGGGGATTTATCCCAGGATTCATACATAACTAGGTAAGTATTCTATACCACTGAGCTACACCCCCACTCTTTTATTTTGAGACAGGGTGTCTCAACTAGGTTGCCCAGGTTGGCCCCAAACTTGTGATGCTCCTACCTCAGCCTCCCAAGTAGCTTACAGGTGTGTGCCACCTCCAACAAAATTTTTAAACACAACGGCTATAAAAAGGTTTTCCTCCTTACCATAAATGGTTATGAAAGGCAGCAAAGGGGGAAAATGTTTACTTTTTTTTTGATAACTAAGTGATTATTCCAAAATACTTAAAAATCTTAAATATACACTACAATTTTAGCACCATTTTAAAATAAAGCACCTACTCTGAAGGAGCTAAAAATACTTGTGGATACCACTTCAAATATATTCTCTCGGGCTGGGTTGTAGCTCAGTGGCAAAGCATCTGCCTTGCATTCGCAAAGCCCTGGGTTTGACCCCCAATTCCAAAAAAGACAAAAGAAAAGAACCCCACCAAAAAAAAAAAAAAAAAATAAAAAAAATATATATATTCTCTCAAATTCCTTCAACAAGACTATCCTGCCCAATTTTCTTTTAGATTTTACTCTCTTTTACCAAAGTAACATTATATCTTCATATACTTTTAAAAAAAAAGTCTTAATAATAACCACATATTTTCAGTTTTTACCAATTTTTACATTTTACAATCCTCCCCATGATTTTTGGAAATATCAAAATAGGAATAGTAACATCCCTTAAAACAAGAGAAAACTTGTAAAAATGCAAGTGATATATCCTTGTTTGTAATCAAAGGTTTCATTTATTGAATAATCAATTATACATTAAAAATCAACTCACATGTCACTCTCTGAAGGACAGGGCTGTTTTACCATTTTGGGTCTGCCTCTTGGTTTTGGAATCTTGACTTCTGTAGCTAATATTCATGTGAAAAAAAAATAATTAGTTTCCCTTTAAAATGCAAATATCATTATATAAAAATTACAAAATTTTATACATCAAGAGTTTATTATTTAGTCGCCTATTACAGATAACAATAATTTATTAAGTTTTAAAAATCATGAATCAAATGAGAAACAAGCCAAAAAATTTAAAGATCAGCTATTATCAATTTGTCCTTGGTATGCTTGAGAGGGCTTAAAACAACATTTTTCATTTACCAGTAATGTCACAAAATTTAACTTTAAAGTATCACATACGTTCCTATCCATATCAGAGTATTATATGTACATTTATTTATACACACACATCTTTGGAAAGCTTATATCAAAATTCACTGAGTTTTCTAACACCCTTAATTTGACCCATTACAACACTATTCAATTCCAAAACATGTAAATAAATTTAATTCTCCCCTCTGGCTATTATGCATCGTAATCCTTTTTCAATAAGAATCCTATTATGAAGTAGAAAAACATTCTCTATTTTTGTTAATTTTCTTTTGCATACTCTGTATTAGGAAGGTCCTTTTCAAGAGATTTACAACTTGCCAAATTAAGAAAATATTAATGCTAATGAGAGCTGCATATTATAAATATCCTCATAAACAAAGAATGTAGTAATTTAATATATTAACAACTGTTAATCAAAGGCTGTATTTGTTCTTTGAATATGGCTCCATTTACAAAGTTTATGCATCATAAATGATAAAATAAGCCCATTATTCCTGGTGGTTTTAACCCCACTCTAGTGTCATTTGCCAGTATCTGTGGAAAATTTAATGGGATTAAAAACAAAAAGATAACGAAATTCACGATTATTTCAGACTTAAGCACTGCATAATGACATTTCTGTCAAAGACAAACTGCATGTACAATGGTGGTCCCATAAGATTAAATGGCCTACTAATGTCAAAGCCTTCTTAGATTTTCTACATACCCTCTATGATGTTTGAACAACAATGAGATTGGTTAATGATGCATTTCTCAGACCATATCTGTAACAGTCATTAAGAAAATGCATGGCTGTAACCAAATGCCTATTTACTTCATTCCAAAACACTTGAGGCAACAACACTTTAATGGATTGGAATATTAATCACAAGCCAAGCAAATATTTAAACATTAACAATCCTACCTGCAGGTCGTCCTCTTTTAGGACTCACTTTTAGATTAACAGATGCTGATGCTGTTGTCACTACTCCTGCCTCCTCGGTTTCTACTTGTTTTTCTGCCTGAATTACAAAAATTCAATTAACTTATTTAATAAGCAGTATACAAAGTTTAATTTAATGGTAAAAATATGCTAGTCAATATGAGTCAACAAATATAAGCAAAATTTCTAGATGATCTTTTCTGAACAATCAACTCATTAGAATAAAATCCTCAAACTTTGCTTATAATTTTAGGGAACAATTCTTCATTTAAAAATATAAAAACCTCACCTTTTGAAAATGCTGACTAAAAAAAAAAATCATTTGTAAAAATAAAGCTAATACTTTTGATGCAATGGGAACCAAAGTATAATGCGATGATGCTATAACTAACATACTTCTTTCTCAAAGTCTCTAACTCTCTAACTTTTGTTAATACTCAAAAAAAATTTATTGGTACATTATAATTATACATAATAGTGGGCACATAATATATTTTTGAACAAAGACTGATATCTGATGTTTTCCCCTTAGGGTTATTCTTATTTTCTATAAACAGGAATCTTAGCAAATTATAATTCACTCTGATAAATTTTGGCATTAACTCTCCTGAGAATGGTTCCAAATAAGAATCAGTAATTACTGAGTAAACATTATAGTAGAATAAAGGTTAAAAATGACAGATCAGATGCACAAGGCCCTGGGTTCAAATCCCTAGTGCCACAAAAAGGAAAAAAAAAAATTTAAAAAGGTCAGGGCTGGGTTGTAGCTTAGTGGTAGAGCACTTGTCTACTTCACATGTGAGGCACTGGGGTCAATCCTCAGCACCACATAAAAATAAATAAATATATGTATTGTGTCCACCTACAACTAAAAAATTTTTTTTTAAATATTTTTAGTTGTAGATGGACATATACCTTTTTATCTATATATTTATTTGTATGTGGTGCTGAGGATCCAACCCCGTGCTTCACATGTATGATGAGGCAAGCACTCTACCACTGAGCCTCAGCCCCAGCCCAAAAATATATTTTTAAAAAATGACAAATCAGAAAGGAAATGCAAACATGTAGCAGTTGGTACTGATCATAATAGCAAAGGAAGGAAAGAAACTGAAGGAGGGATCAAACAGAAGAATGAAAGAACCATTTAAGAGCTGCTTTCCCATGGTTTAGAATTCAGCATTAACTACATTAATAAAAATAAAAGCATTCAAAATATGTATAATCTTATCTCTTTAATAAAAAGGCAGTTTACCCTTTTAATCAATAGGCTATATGATTTACAAACATGATGCTCAGTGTGATAAGCATGTAGAAAATTTGTATATTAGTTACTGATGATCAATAATGATCAATACATGGGTACCACCTTTCCTTTCTGAAAGTATTATTATAAATGAATACTGGAAATAAATAATGTATATTTTAGCAAATCCATTTCTGAGAGTGTATTCATTTCTTCTTTGCTGGTTTTAAAAACATTATTATTGCTTTTACAATTGAAACATAATAGTGCAAAATCAAGGTAAAAGTTGAACCCAAGACTACATGAGAGCTCTTTCCCAGATTAATAGAGCGCACTTAAAATTCAGTTCAAATCCATCAGCTATTCAGAGCAAAAAAAAAAAAATCCCCCAAAACAAACAAACAAACAAAAAACCCCACTTGGAAATAAATCAAAACAGCAAGTAAGAATTATAGGTGTAATGGATTATTTGCAGCAAAAACAATGAGTTCATCAATAATTAATAAAAAATATTTTAACACTTATACTAAAGACCAATTCTACTGCAGACATGGATTTATGGCTATTAGAGAAAACTCATAAGTCAAAATCATTCCTCATGAAAACAAAAAATATTTGATCTAGAAAAATTACTAATTATTAAATACACATATTTAAATTTTTAAATGCAAATATTTTGACTAGATTCATGTCCACGTATGGTACTTGATCTCACTGAGATCTCTAACCCTTTCACTCATTTTCTCTGTATCAATTACCCTACTTTCTAGCTAAACTACCTTCCCTTGAGCCATCCAACACACAAAATCCTCAAGGAAGTACTATTCATGAGTTTCCTCAGTCTCTCTGCATCCTTGATTTGTAGCACCTGTCCCACAAAATCCCATATGATCCAATTCTATTATATTATTGTATAATAATATATATATAAAAAATACAATTCTACATTCTATGTTAGAATTCCCAAGCTCATACTGAGCCTGCTGGGGGCAAGAGGGGGAACAATACAAACATGCATTCACTTTAAGCAATCTCAGTTGGGATCTCAAAGCCATTCATTATATCCTTTAACCCCACCTTTTCTCAGAATAGCTAGCATAAATTTGTCATCCATTCTTCCTTTTACTATACCTAAATGTCTTGCTTTGAGAATTGGGTCTGGTTGATTGAGCCAGTAAGAAGTAATTCCCTTGATTTCCACATCTCCCTAGAATTTTTATAGCCTCCTCCTCCATCCTTCCCTGTATTGAAGAGGCCTACCTCTTCCTTCTTTGGTCAGTTCCTTCAAATGTGCCCTCCCTCTCTCATATCAGTATGTACTTACATTCCATATCTTCAATCTTTTCTAGTTGTGCAAAGAAAAAATGTTAAGGCATCTACAGCAAGTACTTTTTCATTTTCAATACTTTACCTTATCTATGCAAATCCTTGCTGAGTTGCTTAATACTTCTTCCTTTGCTTCACAGATTTCAAAACTACTTTGTAACTTTACCACTAAACATTTTCTCAGTCTGGGGGTGTGGTAAAGTACTTGCCTAGCGCTCGGGGTCTTGGGTTCTACTCCCAGTACCCAAAAACATTTTATTCTACAATTCACTATCTGATTCCTGTCCTTTTTATTCATCTACATGGAACCAAAGTACCTTGAGGGAACCTAACTAGACCTTACTGGATCCTCTATCACTCTTGTCATTCTTGAAATCCTCCTCTCCCTTGTTTAGCTTCATATCCTCTCTTACATTTCTCCTGACAATTCATTCTCAAAAGAGTTTTGTAGAGCTACCTTCCCTCTCTTCCATTATATTCCCCTGGAATTCCAATTTCTGCAATATGTCCCAATAAACATTTTCCCTTGACCTCACATATCTCATATCTTCATATCAGCAACTGCATTTTTTCTTTTCCCACTCTGGTGCCAAAACAAAATGTATCTTCATCATGATTTCCATAGGTGCTTCAATTTCTTCTCCCCACACACCTGATGCCAAACCAGCATTCTCTGTCTTCTTAGTATCTAATCACCCACTCGAAAACCTGGAAGTCATTCTAAATTCTGCCGACTCTTTACCATCCACTTTCAATCATCAACTTACCCACCTAAAGTGCTTTTAAATTGCACCTCACACCTCCACTACTAAAAAGAACCTATAAGGTTCTTGATCATTCCAATCTCATGCCAACTCTTTAGAAACTCCTTCCATAACCTAGTCAGTTATCAAGTCACTGTTCTAACTCTCCACGTTACCATTCTTGCTCTACATGTTTATAAGCATGCACTGTAGATATCACAGGTTCCATTCCAAATCACCACAATGAAGTGAGTCACAAAGTTTACCTTTTCCCAGCATATATAAAAGTTATGATTACACTATACTATCGTCTATTAAATATGTAATAACATTATGTCTAAAAAAGTATGCACATATCTTTATTTAAAAAATACTTTACTGGGGCTGGGGTTGTGGCTCAGCAGTACAGTGCTTGCCTAACACGTGTGATATAAAGTAAAATAAAATAAAATGTATTGTGTTTACCTACAACTAAAAAAATATTAAAAAAAAAATACTTTACAGGGCTGGAGAGGAGACGTAGCTCAGTTGGAGAGCACTTGCCCAGAATTCATGAGGTCCTAGGTCTGATGGCAAGCATCACGAGGGAAGACAAATTATTGCTTAAAAATGCTAACCACCATCTCAGTCTTTAGTGAGTTATACTCTTTTTGTGGGGGGAGGACCTCACCTTACCTTGAATGTAGATGACTACTGACTAACCTGCGTGGTATTTGCTGAAGGATAGGGTGACTCTGGCAGTTTCTTAAAATAAGAGAACAATAAAGTTTTGCCCCATTGACTGACTCTTCCTTTCACAAAAGACTTCTTTGTAGCATGTAATAATGTTCATTTTACCAACAGAACGTCTTTAAAAACTGGAGTCAGTCCTCCAATTCTGCTGCTGTATCAACTTATGTTTATATAAGTTCTTTGTTGTCATATCAACAATGTTTTATAGCACCTTCACCTAGAGTAGATTCCACCCGAAGAAACCACTTTCTTTGCTTATCTATAAGGGCTATAGAGCAGATGTTGTGTTAGAACACTGAACACAACATTTTTCTCACCAGACATCTCCATCAGAGCTCTTCAGAGACCAGGTGCATTACCAATAAGCAGTATATTTTGAAAGAAATCTTTTTTTGTGAGGAGTAGGTCTCAACAGTGGGCTTAAAATACTCAGTATACCAACTGTATCATCATCCAGGCCTTTTTGTTACATTCTAGAGCATAAGCAGAGTAGATTTAGTATAATTTTTAAGTACTCTAGGATTTTCAGAATAGTGAATGAGCACTGGCTTCAACTTCAAGTCACCAGCTACACTGAACCCTAATAAGAAGCAGACTTTCCTTTGTGGCTTTGAAGCCAGGCATTAGCTTTTCTCTAGCTTTAAATTCTAGACGGCATCTTCTTCTAATGTAAGGCTATAGCCTCTACATTGAAAAAAATCTGTTCAGTTTAGCCACCTTCATATAATTATCTTAGTTATCTTCTGCAGTTTCTACATCAGCACCTGCTGTTTCAACTTGTACTTTCACGTTACAGAGATGGCTTCTTTAACTTCATGAACAAATCTCTGCTAGCTTTAATCTTCTCTTCTGTAGCTTCCGCACCTCTCTCAGCCTTGAATTGAAGATATATAGGACCTTGCTCTAGATTAGGCTTTGGTTTACAGCAGTGTTGCAGCTGGCTTTGATCTTTTCAGACCACTAAAAATTTTCCATATCAGGAATAAGTCTGTTTCACTTTCTTATTCTTACATTTACTTGAGTAACATTTTTTATTTCCTCTGAGAACTTTTCAGTTTACAACTTAGTCTAAAAGGCCAAGCTTTAACTTATCTCATTCAGCTTTCAACAGATCTTCACTAAGCTTAATCCTTTTTTAGCTTCTGATTTAAAGTGAGAGGAGTGTGACTCTTGCTCTCACTTGAACATCAAGAGGTCATCATAGGGTTATTAACTGGTCTACTTTTGATATTTTGTCACAAGGAATAGGGAGGTCCATAGAAAGAACAGAATAGTCAGAGAACTTAATATATATATGGTAGATGTGTCCTATCTCATATGCACCAAAACAATTAGAACAGTAAATCAAAGATCATTAATCACAGATCACCATAACAGATACCATATTAAAGTCTGAAATACAGTGAGAAATTTTCAAAATATGACAAGAGAGACACACAGAGCACATGTTCCTGGGAAAATGGCAAAGACTTGTACAACACAGAGTGGCTACAAACCTTTTATTTATTAAAAATAGTTTGCACTGCAAAGTGCAATGAAGCAAAGTACAGTAAAACAAAGTATGCCTGTTTCTCTCTTTTTCTTTTTTGGGGTACCAGGGATTGACTTCAGGGGACTCAACCACTGAGCCACATCCCCAGCCCTATTTTGTATTTTATTTAGAGACAGGGTCTGTCTCACTGAGTTGCTCAGCCCCTCACTGTTGCTGAGGCTGGCTTTGAACTTGTGATGCTCCTGCCTGAGCCTCCTGAGCAGCTGGGATTACAGGCATGCACCACCACACCTGGTCTATGCCTGTTTTCTATCTTGATAAAAATGTGAATTCAACAAGAACAGAGACCTGTTTCCTTACTCACTGCTCAATTCTGTGTTTGGATCAGGAAAGCTGTACTAAAACTCTGAATGAATTTTTCAGTGAACTGGGCTTGCTGCCCCAATTGAACTCCCATCATCACACTGCATTAATAAAAAGGAAGCATCTAAAATATACAATTCAATGGCTTCCCCCCACTTAAGTTCCAGTTCTATAGGATAACACTGGGGATTATGTATCTGCTTCCAACCATCTTTAAAGTATGGTAATGCTGAAATGCAACACTGTATTCAAACATGCTTAAAATGAACATTTTCTCTATGTGCTTATATACACTATTTGACAAAATGTCTCAATATCCTTTCTCTCCCTCCTTCACCTGCCTGACAAAATTCTGCCCACCTTTTAAAATCTCGTTAGTTATCACATCCCCTCTCCCATGCATATATCAAAGGATAAAAAGCCATTATAATTATTTGTTTTCATATTTTACTTCCTCATAAAATACTAAACTCTCGATTTTCTATCTTTGGTATATATGTCAGAAACATAAACAGGAGAGAAATAGGTGTGACCAAAACTTCATAAGAAGGAAATTCATAACAAATTAAAAGCCTGCCCAGATACCTATCCCTACATAGTCACTCAAACTCTCATTTCACACAACACTGCGACACAGTAACAACATAATGATGTGTAACACTTACACAGCACATATAAGTATTTAGGGACCAAGATTTATCATAAACATTTTGCATGCATTAAATCATTTAATCCTTTTACCAACAATACTACAAGAAAATATTACTATCCACCTATTCATTTTACAGAGAAAACAAAAGCAGAGTCATAAAAACTGTTGCATTTTTTTTTCTTTTTCAATACACCTTAAGGATACCATAGTTATATCACCAAGAAAAAAAAAATCAGTTTTGCTAACATAACCTACCCTTTAAAAAACTAAAGGTTCAGAGTAAAAGGTCAAGTTTTAAAGGAAGTTTCATTATTTCTACTCTTTCTCAATCCAAGTAAAATAAAAAATTTTAAAGATACTTATGATTAGTCAGTGAAATTACCTTTCTCTTTCTCCCCCTTCTGGCAGCTTTTGGAGTGGTTATATCAATTGCTTTAGTCACATCCTTAAAAAGACAAAGCAAATAAAACTGAATAAATCAGGACAAGGCTAAAAGAAACTTTCTTAAACTTAAGCCCCAAACACGTTTCAGCAAAAGAACTAAAGAAGTTTGTTTTACTTTTCTGACCTTTGAAATTATAAACATTAAAAGTCTTGCTGGTACACCAGAAGTTTGTCTATTTAAATTATAAAGCCACATTTTCTACAGAATTCTGGATATTAGGGCTATGAATTTTAAAGTGGCTTAAACTTTGGAGGTTATCTAACAATCATTTCATGAAGTTTAGAAGGGCTAAAGGAGTATTCCCAATCACAGAAGTGTAAATCAACATAAGTTTTAAAGAATTCAGCTTAATGTTTTTTCCGTACATCCCTCCATCCCACAATCCTCTGCTTTAGAAAAATATTCCTGGAGGTTGGGGCTGTAGCTCAGTGGTGGAGCATTTGCCTAGCATGTGTGAGGCACTGGATTCTATTCTCAGCATCACATAGAAATAAATAAAAATAAAGTCCTATCAACAATTAAAAAAATAGAAAAATTTTTATTTTTTTTTTACTTAACAAACACTCATCTACTTTATAGTTTTGCACTTGTGTTTTGCACATGAAAATAGCTTCAAATAAAAACATCTGTGCATCTTAAAGACAACAAACACTCTAAAAAAATACTTACCATAGGAAATAAGCCTTAAAATGTTCTCATTCATTACTTTAAATTTAGATTGCTTCCTACTTTGCCAGGTCAATTTGTTTTACAATTTCTTTCTTGCTACAAAAATGGGGTTTAAGTGGGGCTGGGGTTGTGGCTCAGCAGTAGAGTACTTGCCTAGCATGTGGGAGGCATTGGGTTTGATCCTTAGCACCACATAAAAATAAATAAATAAAAATGAAGGTATAAAAAACTGGGGTTTAAGAGTGTAAGAAAAATGAAAACATACCTCATTGCTGGCTTTTTCTTCATGATCAGTATCTTCCTTTGAAACACTAGTTTCTTTTTCTTCAATTTCAACATCAGATGATGTATTTGATTGTTTAGTTGATGCCTATGCAAAATAAACACTATTAACTTCACAAAACAAATTTTAACCTAAAAATTTTTTCTGTTCACAAAAAAAATCAAGACTGTTTGCAATAAGGAAAGTTACTGATTTGTGTTTCATAGGAAACTTAATTTTAAAACTATTTCAAAGGCTACTATAGGTTGATCATTCCTAAAGAAAACTCCAAATCTACAACTTTTTGAATGATAATTCTTTTTGTTTTAAAAAAGGGGGGGGTGGGGGGCATGCCAGGCATGGTGGTGCACGCATGTAATCTCAGCTTCTTGGGAGGCTGAGGCAGGAGGATCACAAGTTCAAAACCAGCCTCAGCAACTTGGCGAGACCCTATCTCTAACTAAAATATAAAAAAGGTTAGGGATGAGCTCAGTGGTTAAGTGGCTCTGAATTCAATCCCCAATAACAAAAATAAATATTTAAAAATTTAAAACTTTCTGATAACATACAAAATTATTTGTTGTTGATGTTGTTTTAGGTACTGAGGACTGAAACCAGGGATACTTAACCACTGAGCCACATCCCCAGTCCTTTTTATTTTTTTATTTTTAAACAGAGTGTCACAAAGTTGTTGAGTCTTATTACATTGCTAAAGCTGGCCTTGAATTTGCAATCCTCCTGTCTCAGCTTCCAAAATCAATAGGATTTGTGGGGTATGCACCTCCACCCCCAGCACAGTTATTAACAAAATGATGTAAAATTTTTCTGAAAACTATTCATAACATTATAGAAAATTTTAAAATTCAAAATGGTCAATTTTATTTTTATATATATATCTGGACATCAGTTTTCCATAAGCCCTGTGCCACGAGGGATGTGTCTGGGCCTAGGAATCAGAATGCATCAAATCAGCAGCAATCCTTTCAGTAGACAAAATGTTATTTGATTTCATTCATATAACCTCCCCAAAAGTCTCAATGCAAAATAGAAAATAACAGATCTATCTGATGAAAACTACCTGCAGACTGAGTAGATAGAAACAAAGGATAGAATAAACTAGGTGGACAAATGGAGGATAAAAAAGACGAGAAAGGTGCAGTCACAAGAGAGATTATCTAAGAGAAATTACAAAACATTTCATAAAGGGCTGGGTTGTGGCTCAGTGGTAGAGCACTTGCCTTGCATGTGTGAGGAACTGGGTTCGATCCTCAGCACCACATAAAAACAAATAAATCAAATAAGATATAAAAAAATTCCACAAGACAATCAATTTTGTCTGTTTGGACAAGTGTACTCCCATTACACAGTCAAATGTAATTATGATGGGATGGATGATTATATAACCATTCAACAAACATTTAGTGAATTATCTATTCTTCCCACAGTAACAGTGCTGATGCATATGACACGATTCCTTTATTCATAGATCTAGTAAAATAATCTGTGGCAGTTACAAACAACTATAGAAGCAATTATGATATGTTATGATGAGTACTATGACAAATAAGTACTAGGTGGTAATGAAGGCACAAAAGAACATCTAATGTAGCCTTGAAACATCAATGATTTAGATACACCAAACAGAACATATAGCAAGTTCTCAAAGTTAAAAAAAAAAAATTTATTCATGTTCTTCCCACTTTTTGGTACTTTAGGCCTTAATAAAAGGAACTAGAGTAAAGAATCACCTCAATGTTTTCACAAGATCTCCTCTTACAGCTCTCTAGTCCTGGTTTGTGCTGAGCACAGGGGTGTACACCTGTAATCCCAGCAATTTGGGAGGTTAAGGCAGGAGAATTGCAAGTTCAAGGTTACCCTCAGCAACTTAATGAGGTACTAAGCAATTTAGCTAGACCTGTCTTAAAATAAAAAATGAAAATTTATGGGGCTAGGGATGTGGCTCAAGCGGTAGCGCGCTCGCCTGGCATGCGTGCAGCCCAGGTTCAATCCTCAACACCACATACAAACAAAGATGTGTGTCCGCCGAAAACTAAAAAAAAATAAATAAATATTAAAAATTCTCTCATAAATAAAGAAATAGATAAATAAATAAATAAGTAAAAATTTATGTCATAGATAAATTAACTCTGGACAATAATATAGAAAAGGAGGCATAAGGCTGCTCTTCTAGACATCAATAATTTGCATTTTGCTCTAAGTCACACATTTAACCCATGGAGGTTCATATTCTGATATAATTCTGTGGACTTAAAAATTAAAGAAAATAAGAAAATTCAAGCACACACTAAATTTAAAATCCCAAAATTTAAAATCCCAAATTTAAGAGTACAAATGGTGTAGTTAGTGTGCACCTAGTTAAATAACCTCAAAATATACACAAGAAAACCTGACAGAATTAAAATGAAAAATGAACAAATCAATCATGGTAAGGCGATGAAAACACTCATTCTTTTGCAGTTGAAATAGGCAAAAAAAAAAAAAAAGCACAAATGGCATTAACTTCAACAACGTATTAAATAAACTCTCAATCAGGAGTTAACTGATGATTTCTCAGTTTTCTGAGATCTCTTTAGCCATGCAACTAAAAATTCAAAAATTCATTACACATTAAAAAATCAAGGTTCAGCCTCATAAATAAGAACAATTTAACCTAAAATCCACAAGGCTTTTAAATTAGTATTTATTTTCCCCACAGGCAGGACTGTGGTTATTTCCCAAGATTGAATAAATACTAAATTTTATGTAATATGACTCACCTGTTGACTTGAAAATTTCACTTTTGGATTGTTATCTATTTCCCATAAACCTTCATTAAAACCTTTTCGTTTATTTGGTTTGCCATATTTCTCCTTATTTTCTGAGTAGGGAAATATATCCTTTGGTCCTAAAAAAGCACTGAAACAAAAGGGGAGAACATGAATGCATCGCAATCTCAATTAAATATTATTAAATAGCACCATCCTATGATGTACTTTAAATGTGTTAATTAAAACAAACAATGATCATTTTAAATCCTAATGATTTCATTTTATTAATTTAGGACAATATCACCAAGGTATGAGAAGGCTCTGATGAAGTGTTATTACAATTTAAAGTTCTTTAGGTTCTTTTTGCTTATAGAACAATTAAATGATCCCCGATATAATTATAAAGGCTTTTTAAATTTTTTTGTAATGTAGAGGAATGAACCCAGGGCCTCACTGATTCTAGGTAAACGCTCTACCACTGGGCTATACTCCCAGCCCCCAAGTACTTAAATTCAATAAAAACCTCCTAGATCCATAATCCTAAGAGAAAAAAAAAGAGAGACCACAGAAGTTGTGCAAAAATGCAAATGCACTTACCACCACTGAACTATACACTTAAAAATGGTTAGAACATAACACTAATTTATATTTCAAAATAACTAGAAGAGATTTCAAACTGTCTCATCAATACTATCTGAGGAGATAGGTGATAAATATGCTATGTACCAATTTAACTCACTACATATATATGCATATATTCACACATGTATATACAGACATTGAGATATTCACATATATCTCAAATATTTATAACTCCAACTTTCACACTTTATCCCATAAACATGCACAATTGTGTTAATAGAAAAATGGTTAAAACAGTAAATTCTGTTCTTTTTTATAAGAGAAAAACACAAACCCACGCTGGGCATTGTGGCACATGCCTGGAATCTCAGCAACTTGGAAGGCTGAGGCAGGAGGATCAAAAGTTCAAAGGCTATCTCAGAAATTCAGTGAGGCCCTAAAGCAATTTAGCAAGACACCATCTTAAAATTATAAACAAACAAGGCTGAAGATGTGGCTCAGTGGTTAAGGACCTCTTGGTTCAATTTCCAGTACAAAAAAAATGAAAGAAAAACACAAGCACACACAAAAAAAAGACACAACACCATTCATCAAACCTTTAACTGCATTCCAAATATAATTTCATTTCAACAAAATTTGGTACAGCACCTAACTTGTGAACACTGAATTCTAATGAACTAATGCTCCTATAGGATATACAAGGTGTGATTCCTACAGTCACAACATTTTCATAATCCTGTCCATACATAACCAGTTTAAAAATACTTTACAAAATATACTGCTGGTTCACTAACACTGAATTCACAGCCAACAACTTATAGAAAATGTGCTTTCTCCATAAGGTAAATCATAACCTTAAGAACACTAAAAAGAATTTTAGCACTATGTTTCAAGACTAGTTAAAAAACACACATACACAGAGCACAGAAATGCAAAAGCTTATGGTGCTATGTAGACTGTAAAAACAATACTTACTAAAATAAATAATTTGGGACTACAAATAAATTCTAATGAGTAGACAAATTCACAAATACATAATCCATAGATAACAAGCACCAATTGGTTCTGTGTATTCAGATACCTTCTCCAAGACAGACCCCTTATGTGTCCCTTTCCTATATAAATTCTTTAGAAAGTGTCAATTCTAAGCCAGGCACAGTGATCCATGCCTATAATCCAACTACTTGGGGGCCTGAGCCAGGAGAACTAGTACCTAGATTAAAGTCCCAGAAAAAAAAAAAAAAAAGCCTGTCACTTCTATGAAGGTAGACATTATGTATGAGTTATTTTCACTACAATGGACCTGTACTTGGGCTTTTTGTTTTTTCTGCAATGCTAGGAATTGAATCCAGGGCTTCATGCATTGCTAGGCAAGCTCTCTACTGTTGAGCTACACCCACAGCCCTTTTTATTTTGAAATAGGATCTTGCTGAGTTGACCAAGCTGTCCTTTTATTTTTAACCTGTGATCCTCCTGCCTCAGCCTTCAAGTTGCTAGAATTATAGGCATGCACGCACCGCACCAAGTTTTATATATGTGCTTTCCAAAACAGGACAATGAAATTGACTCTAATTTCTTCTAAAATGTACTAAAACTTAAAATTATTGTAATTAGATATATATATAACAAATTTTCTACCTGCTGAAATCCTGTAAGAATTAAAGACCTAATGAATACTTACAGGAATACTTTGTAAGATTTTAAATTAAAATTTCCATAAAAAGAGACTTAGAGGGCTGGGGTTGTGGCTCAGTGTGTAGAGCACTTGCCTAGCATGCATGAGGCACTGGGCTCAATCCTCTGCACCACATAGAAACAAAATAAAGGTAATTTAAAAAGAGAAAGAAACTTAGAACTCTAAATATAATTAGGGCACATAAAAGCTTTACTGTGCAACACACCTACTACATAATCAATTTTAAATTCAAAGTAAGTTAGTTGAACTGCCACAAAAATTTATTTCCAGTTGAAACAAGCTAGTTCAACAAATTTTCCCTCTTGAAACTTCAAAAGACAATGGTAAAGGAAGTAATTTAAAGGTATAGACTCATAAGATCATATGAGATAAAAACTTTGGAAGCTGAAAGAGAAAAACTGGATCTTAGCCAACAATGTAGATAAAAAGGTCCAACAATATCCTCATTTATAGTTCCAAATCAACATAAAAACTGCTGGCATGAGGAGCTACAAAAAGTAAAAGGAATCTTGAAAAATACTTATTACAGGGCTGGGAATATAGCTCAGTTGGTAGAGTGCTTCCCTCGTATGCACAAGGTCCTAGGTTCAATCCTCAGCCCCCCCCCAAAAAAAAAAAAAAAAAAAAAAGTTTAAAATTCTCAAACATGAGTGTTTTTAGGTAAGACTCTAAATCTAAAAGCCACTGAAAAAAGAAGACTGATCTAACACAATGATATTCATGTGTATAAGGGTTTAAAATAAATATTTTTTACATGCATTATCCACCTTCATCTCAAAGCATCAGGTATTAGGTATTAAACCCAGGGCCTTGCACATACTAGGTAATTGTTCTACCACTCAGCTACATCCCAGCCCTTTTTAATTTTATTTCAAGACAGGTCTCACTAAGCTGCCCAGGCTGGCCTTGAACAAGCAATCCTGCGTCAGCCTCTGGCCTCCCAAGTGGCAAGAAGTAAAAACAGGCCATCTACTTTATATGACAGTGAGAGGTCAAAAAATAAGCACTCTAGATAATCAATGGGAAAAATTATAATTGTTCCATGATCTTTAAAAATTATCATGACACTAAATACTATTACTGACAAGTTAGAAACATGTAAAGAAATGAAATAGTAAGCCTAATATTATTTAGTACATTGTAACTGAAAATATTAGGAACATTGAGATTAAAGAGTGCCATTTTTTGTTGTTGTTTAAAAAAAAATCAAGAATAATTTGAACAGTGCTTTTTTTGATAACTTCTATGGAATAAGCATATTTTCTATACTCATACTCCTTTGTTAAGTTTAGATCATCTTCCAACATTTTATTCTTCAACACTGTGAATTATTCTTCAAAATGTGAATTTTGTTGGTGCCACATCCTCTAGGACATCTTCATACTTTCTAACCACTTTCCTCATTTACGTTGATAAACTTGTTTTCATTACTTCACTCAAGTTCCTGGGACTGGACATTTAATGTCTCTCCAAATGTGCACATCAACATTCATAAGGTTAGCTACTTATTCTATAACTCTACCTATTCAATTCAAATTAACTTCCAGCATTATTACTGTACTTCATCTTTGCTGGTCAATTCTCGTTTCTTTATTTTGGTAAAAGTCACTTGGGTCTATTGTTGGAAACAATGGCCAACTACATACTTGCAGTCTGTATGTTTTGAGAAACAAATACACAAGGACCAATCACCAAGAAACTAGGAAAGTGACACGGTACACATCTGTGATTTACATCTTAATTTGTGGGTTGAAAAAGCTAGTAGCAAATTTTGTAGTTTATACCATGGTGTTTAGGGACAGGTATTACTTAACTAAGCCACAGTAAATAAAATTCATACGTACTACAACTATGCAAAGCTAAATAAAGATGACTTATATTCTTCGCTCTTTATGATGTACCTTTAAAGTTCTCTTTTATAGACACCAATATTTTGACTCTTGCTTTGTGACTGCATTATATTATTATTTTCATCTCTAACTTAAATAAAAGGGCAGGGGAAACAGCTCATTACAGAGCACCCCTAGATTCAATTCCCAGTACCACCACACACAAAAAAAAAAAACCAGACTTATCTAGGCTGTTTATTAATGCAATTTGAAAGTCTACTAACTAAAAAAATTCTTCACTTGCTCCTCCTCCCAGATTCTGATATTACTGTTATACTTTCCATTATTTTGCTACTCATGATATTCAAATGTCATACATAAATTCACTTTTTTATACCTTTATTTATTTTTATGTGGTGCTGAATGAACCCAGCGCCTTACACTCTTGCAAGGCAAGCACTGCACAGCTGAGCCACAACTCTAGCCCCCATCAATTCACTTAAATAAAAAACTAGGGATTGAACCTAGGAAAACCTAACAAGTTACATATCACCAACCCTTTTAAGACAGTGTTTTACCAACTTACTGAGGCCATTCTCAAATTAGTCCTTGCCTCAGCCTCTGCAGTACCTGGAATGACAAGCATGCACCACCACATATGGCTAAATTCACATATTTTAATACATCAAAAATTAAATAATATAGTCCAAAGGAGAAAGTCTGTACAAGTTTAGAAGTTTTTGATGCTTAACATCTCTAGTAATCAGGAAAACAGAAATCAAAACCACAATGAGATAGCATCTCATACCCAATACAATGGATATAATAAAAAAGAAAATGTGGCTGGGGATGTCTCAGTGACAGAGCACTTGTCTAGCAAAGACATAATCCTGGGAGACATCCCAAACACCACAATAAATGTAAATGAAAAATAAATAAATAAACATAAAGACAATGTGGGGAAATTAGAATCTTCATACACAACTGACTTGGAAACATTCTGGCAATTTCTCAAAAGACTAATTCTAAAGTCAGCATTTG